TTTTTAGGGTTATTAACGAAGTTTGTGTACTCAGACCAGTAATATTTGGGGTCACAAGTTTTTGTCATGGATATTTTGTGGGTCAGAAGATAAAAAGTTTGGGAACCACTGTACTATAATAGCAGTATTATGTTGAATTGTGCAGCTATATGTGATAGTGATCTGTGATGGGATGTTTCAGGCAGTTAGGGAACAAAACTTGGAGAAAATGTCAGGGAATTGGGAATAAAATGTTCAAAAGTAGCATAAGTAAGCAAAAGTTTTGAAAAAAAAAAAACAATGTCATCCACGGGAGCTCAAATTTACTCTAAATAAAATAAAAAACAACAAATTTGTCCTAAAAGTGAAAGTTTAGTAGACTTACACATGTCAGTTATGCTCATTGACTGTCACTATTAGACTAAACATAGAGCAGTTTTTTTTAACCAAATAATCATCACAGGGTGAGAAATGCATGTCATTACTTGATTTTTAGATTTTATACAAACAATTTATAAAAACCTGGTGTTTTGATACTAATAAAACCATCCAATGAGAGTACAGAAATTCATATTTCTTTATTAATCCCAAAGGGAAATTAAATGTTGTTGTAACCATTATCATCATGTTTAAAGTTTCTTAAATGGTGGTAATAAAGAGCATTGAGCAATAATGTCATCATTATTTCCAAATAATTACTTACAATAATTGGTTTTAGTTGCATTTTACTGCATGTGGAATGATAAGTAATAAAATAAGAATATATAATTTTCTTGATGTGCACTTTTGAGTTTCACAAACGTTAAAACTACAATGTCAATACGTAACCTTCCTAAAGCTTAGTGCTAATTGATGTACTCCATCCACCACTGGTGGTGTGTATTGATTAAAATCCTGGTGTCCCACCATTGTTTTTTATACTCAAATATTACAATAATAACATAACTGTATAATAGCTTTTCATATATTTTCTTTAATATCTTCACGAACAATAAGATGAGAAATATTCCCAAAATAATACTCTTAGATTTCTTGTGTTTGTAAAATGTGAGCTGATAAACACTAATCATGGCCGGCATTAATCTATATAGTAATGTGACATCCATAAATAAACTAAGAACTTGTATTTCTGTATGTAAATGCAGCTTCACCTTCCACGTTTTGGGTATTACCACAGCGGTGATGCTAACTTGCTTTTTTTATCTGTTTTTATATCCCAGGTTTACGGAACGCTCCTAGATGTTGGTCGGTCATCCAGCCATTGCTCTGCGCCGTCTACATGCCCAAATGTGAAAACGGCCGAGTCGAGCTGCCCAGCAAGAGCTTGTGTTTGGCGACGCGGAAACCCTGCGCCATCGTGGACCGGGAGAGAGGCTGGCCCGACTTCCTCAAGTGCGACAAATTCCCCGTGGGCTGCTCGGTATGCTTTATTTATCGATCCCCGATGAGAAACTTATCGTTTCTCGGAAGCAGAGGTGATTACCACCCTTTTTTACCTAATTTGCATCTTCTGTGTTCAGAACGAGGTGACGAAGCTGAAGTTCAACATTTCGGGTCAGTGTGAAGCTCCGCTGGTGAAAACAGACATCCAGTCCAGTTGGTACAAAGATGTGGAGGGCTGCGGTATCCAGTGTGACAACCCCTTATTCACCGAAGAGGAGCACAACGACATGCACGCCTACATAGCTTACTTTGGCACCATCACACTGCTCTGCACCTTTTTCACCCTGGTGAGGCAAACAAACTCAAGCCAACTATGAAAGAGTCCACAACCCATCCTTTCCATGTTATTAATTTTAGCTATTGTTACGCTTCTGTCTTTATCCAGGCCACATTTCTTGCTGACTGGAAAAACTCCAACCGCTACCCGGCCGTCATTCTTTTCTACATCAATGCCTGTTTCTTTGTGGGCAGCATCGGCTGGCTGGCCCAGTTCCTGGACGGAGCGCGCAAAGAGATCGTGTGCAAGAGCGACAACACCATGCGGCTCGGCGAGCCCTCGTGAGTTCGAGAGGCCCAGTCTTGTATTTGGAAGTGAAATGAACAAAAAAAAAATGAATATGAAGTCATCAATAGCTGCATCTAATGTTCTGCTCCCTGCAGGTCCTCAGAAACTCTGTCGTGCGTCACGATCTTCATTATCGTCTATTACTCGCTGATGTCCGGTGTGATTTGGTTTGTCATGCTGACTTACGCCTGGCACACGTCCTTCAAAGCTCTGGGCACGACTCACCAGCCCCTCTCAGGTCGGACCTCCTACTTCCACATGGTCACCTGGTCCGTCCCCTTCGTTCTCACTGTGGCCATCCTCGCCATTGCTGAGGTTCGTATTAAACAAACTAAAACCGATCAAATTGTTGGGTTTTTGACATCTTTCGTTCACATCTTGTTGCCCCAAAGGTGGATGGAGACTCAGTGAGTGGGATCTGTTTTGTCGGCTATAAAAACTACAGATTCCGAGCTGGGTTTGTGCTGGCACCTATTGGAGTGGTGCTTGTGGTTGGCGGCTACTTCCTCATTCGGGGTGCGTGTCATCTGCACCATTTGGTCATATTTGATTAACTAAAACAAAACAATAAAAATATGGACTGAATTAATTGCTTATTGCAGGAGTCATGACCTTGTTTTCCATCAAGAGTAACCACCCAGGACTGCTGAGTGAGAAAGCTGCCAGCAAAATCAACGAGACAATGCTGAGGCTCGGTGAGTTCTGTTCCCCTTTTGTTATCGAAAAATCAAGAGCTGAAACGTGACCCTAACTGTCACTGAAAGCTAATGTTTTGTCTAAAGCTGCAGGCAAAATGAGCAAAGAATGTAAACACGTCTAATGCCTCAGTATGATAGGAAAATGTCCTGTGTACATGAGCAAATGAACAGACTGAGTTCCATCTTTCTGTTCTTTTAATTTTAAAATGTGCAATAAAAATAAGCTTGGCAACACCTCTTGTGTTTCACTCCCAGTTTATGGCTGTGTGTAATAATAATAATAACAACGTGTTCTCTTTTTTTAACGGTAGGTATATTTGGATTCCTTGCTTTTGGCTTTGTTTTCATCACATTTGGCTGCCACTTTTATGACTTCTTCAATCAGGCCGAATGGGAGAGGAGCTTCAGAGAATACGTACTGTAAGTTTTTTGGGCTTATATTCCACAATTTGCTTTGTTTTTAGCGTTTGCTGTTGCAGCTGTACATTGATTCCTCCTTAGAACCCTCCTCCGCTTTCACATTTTATAAAAAAAAATTTTATTTAAGAGTTGTGGCGTTTGAGTCGTGTGGCCCTTTAGATCAAACACGTCTCTGTTTGTTTCCAACAGGTGTGAGGCCAACGTGACCATCGCATCCCAAGCCAACAAGCCCATCCCAGAATGCACCATTAAGAACCGTCCCAGCCTGATGGTGGAGAAGATTAACCTGTTCTCCATGTTTGGGACAGGAATCGCCATGAGCACCTGGGTCTGGACTAAAGCCACCATCCTCATCTGGAAACGCACTTGGTGCAAGTAAGCAAATCTCCGGGTTTGTTTTGTTGTCGTTGCCAAGTATGGAGCTTTCTTTTAGGTTCGCATTATTTTAATGATTTTCAGTGGTGGGCAGCGCTAATCCAAAAATTAGCTCCACATTTTCTAAAGCTCTTATGAAAATATTTAGGTCCGCAACTTCAAAAGCACTTATGCCATAGAAAAACTAGTGGAAGCTAATTTTATAGCGCAAGTTCAATTTGACACTTACTAGTGTTTGTTTGTTGTAGATTTTTCATTAAAGAAGTATCAATAAAGTAATTTTAAAACTGCTTATTGGAAAACTGAAGCGATGCATTCTGGGTACATGACGGATTTGATTTGTGGTGGGAAACGAAGGAGTACAGGAAACTATCTTCACTTCAAAATAAGAGCTTGGATTTTAAAGTTTTCCATGTAGTTGCTCCATTTGACCACTAGATGTCAGTCTTCATCAGCATAACATCTTTAAATCATTTCCCCTTGGTCGATTGCTTCGACCAATTACTTCAAGTATTGAGCTCCAGCGTTTAGACTTTTTTTTTTTTGAAAAAAGGAGCTCCGATTGTAAAGTAAAATAAATCAATACATACAAAATTTTAGTATGGATTACAAACGTTAACTGTTTTTGCTGGGACAGGGAGTTCTAAACATTGCCTTCCTGCTACGTAAGCAGACACAAAGCATTGTGGGAAATGAGAACCGTGACCCAAAGCAACAGTTAGCAAGGATGAATACCAATAAGTGTGTTTATCTGGGAGGGATGCTGTTGGATAGATCATGTGTGTTGTGATTCATTGACAGCCATACCTTCCGCTGTTCAGGATAATGATGACTGGTAGATAATTAGTTATTAGYGGTACTGYATTTTGATTTTAGAAAGTGCAAGTCTGCTTATGAATTATAAAAATTAGTAAGCCCGCTAAAGCACAAACTAAAGTTTTAGGTCCGCAATTAGCAGGTTTGTGCTTTAGCGGGCTGGTGCCCACCATTTGTGATTTTACTCACAAGTCCATCATCTGCGGCCGTCTCTCTGTCCCGTCCTTCACCAGGATCATCGGCCGCAGCGACAACGAGCCTAAGAGGATAAAGAAGAGCAAGATGATTGCCAAGGCGTTTGCAATGAGAAAGGAGCTCCACAAGGACCCGGAGAAGGAGCTGTCCTTCAGCATGCACACTGTGTCTCATGACGGCCCAGTGGGTGAGTGGCACTTAAGGGGAGGTTTGAACTGATGTACTGAGCCACCATGAGCTTATTGAACCAAAAACTAATTATTAGTTTGGGATTTTCTCTGTCATAGCTGGAATCAATTTCGAGCTCAACGAGCCATCCAATGAAATGTCATCAGCATGGGCGCAGCATGTGACAAAGATGGTTGCCAGACGAGGAGCTATCCTGCCTGAAGACATTTCGGTCACTCCCACCGGGACACCAGGTGAGATCCTGGAGMTGTTTTACCAAAATGCTACATTTGGTTTAGAATTAGCCAGATAAACTTTGTAACTCTACACATGGCTGTGCTTCTTGTCATTAATAAACTGTTTATATATTTATTTTTCCAACAGTGCCACCTCCAGAGGAGAGGAACAGGTTGTGGATGGTGGAGGCTGAGATTTCCCCCGAGATGATAAAGAGGAAAAAGAGGAAGAAGAAAAAAAGGAAGGACGTGCGTCCGGTTGAGGAGACTCACCACCAGCGCGAGTTTGGTCGCAGCTCGGTGCCCCGGCTGCCGAAGCTTCCCTGCCACCCGAGCCTGGTCGCGAACCTGCGCTTGCAGCAGAGGCAGCAGCAGAGGATGGAGGACGACGTCCTGCCGGGGTCGTGCTCAGAGTTTCAGCGCTGCGAGGAGCGGTGCCACTACCTGCAGTGCCAGGGCAGCTACAGCAACAAGCTGCTGCCCAACCCTCTGACCCATATCGACTGTCCTGAAGATCTGGGCCTCAGGCCACGCTACCACCCCTCAAACTCCAACTGGCAGCCCAGGGGGTCCGCACTCCGTCCTGAAGAGATGGATCTAGACGGGCTGTCAGACAGAATGGCTCACGTGGCCCGGGTCCCGGCTGGTCGCAGGGCCGGCTGTGGACCCATCCACTCCCGGACCAATTTAATGGAGGCAGAGCTAATGGATGCTGACTCTGATTTTTAAAACTGCTTCGTGGGAAACAGAGCAAACAAAAAAAGTGCTGGAAACTTTCAGAGACTCTTACTAAAATGCATCAAAACCTGGTCAGTGTGTTTTATTTCTTTTTATTTTTCTGTGTCTTTGTGCACGACAGATTTTTTTTTTCTCAGAAAAATGGAAGGAATAACGTATTGCTTTGTGTTGAATAACATTTCATGGAGACTAAACAGATGAGGCAGCTAAATTGTACATGGCTTGAAACATGTGTATGTGCTGAAACGTCTTGGTTCCAGCTCAGCATTAAAATGAGCTCAGTCTCAAAAGATAATCGAACCAATTCATTTCTCTTGTCTTATATTTTAAAGCTCCTTCTCTCCCTTTCCACTTCCATTTAATCACTATTTGTGCTTACAACTACCTTGAGGTGCTATTTGTACTTAGATTTTCAAACAGAACTAAAACTGTGTTAAGTAAAAAAAAAAGGTGACATTTTAGTTTCTCAGCTTCCCTTTGTAATGATTTAATTTTATGTTATTTCTTCAAAACATGTACAACCCCAATTTTATTGATCTGCTACTCTAATCAAGCTTTTTTTTTCGTGCTAAAATATGTTCCTATCATTTCTATTTTCTTTGTTGCCTGGTGCAATAATTCATCTGTCGTTTGCTTTGGAGAAAATTTAAATTCTAAGAGTGAAGCTACAATGAGCTGTTTATCCCCCTTCAATAAGCTCTTGTATATTTCTATTTGCTTGTTGTACATTTTAGAAAAAAAAGTGTTATTTTTTTATCAAATTTCTGTTCTTGTTGTATATATTCATTTGAAACTGTGCTTCATATGTGTTGATGCTTATTTTTTGTTTGCATTCAGAACATTTGCAGTGTTGCGTTTTGTGTAAATGAAATACTGTCACTTTTYACTGTACAGCTAAGCTATGTTTTTTTTGTCTCTATATTAAAATAAAAACAATGCCACATTTTGATATTGTTTTTTTGATACTGATATAGATAAAAAAAAAAAAAAAAAAAAAAAAAAAAAGTTGTAGCAGTTTCGCTTGTTGGACTGAACTACTTTCTGTTGCATCATTAAACCAGCAGGGGAAGCCAAATACCTTTTTTGACCAGTTTTAGGAGATTTGATAAGTTATATAAGTTWTTATTTACGCAAATTTTATGCAATAGAAAATAGCTAAAGTAGGACTCCGTAGAAGTATTTAAAATAGCATTAAAATGATATAACGTACAAGGAAAAGGTGCAAGAGCTTTTGTTGCAGTACCCTAAAAACCACTAGGGGCACTAAAATTTTAATGTCCGACCAGTTTTAAGAGATAACATTTTTTTAGCTAGTGCATTAGCAAAATGACTACATTTAAATAAATAAATAAATAAATAAATTTGATGGTTAAACATGACAAAAAAAGTGAACAATTTCCTGCTGGCCTGAGCAACTTGTTGCATTATTTACAATAAACCACCAGGGGGCGCTAAAGTTGCATTTTAATTCAAAGTCCGAGAGTTTGAGAAATATGAATAAATTAACTACAAAMTTTTTCGTGAAAATACAACTAGTGCGTTAGCTAAAAGACTAAAATCTTTAAAAAATAGAGATAAAATGGAACTCATTGTTTAAAAGCGTGAAGAAACGGCTTCAGTGACGGTAAATTATAGGAGCACTAACTTTCTGTTCCACGCCACTGATTAGCCAGTCGCTGCACGGCAGCGGTCATAAAGAGGGGCCGAAGCCCGGAGGACGCGTCACCGCAGGAGCAACACCTAAAACAGACGACATGTCCTGTAAAACGTCCTCTCTGCTGCCGGGGGACGTGGACCACCTGCGGAGAAGATCAGTGGCTGAATCCACAGGTGGTAACAAAACTTCACGAATTTATTTGTCTTTATTTCTGCGAAATTAATGGTTTTTAACTTGCTAATTAAAAACACCTGCGCTGCGTGGTTTTCTACCATGTAAATAAAACTAATGAAGACAAGTAGCTAAGTTACTTTATTTTTTCTTTCTTTTTTCCTTTTCTGTTTTTTTATTTTTATTTATTTATTTCTTTATTTTACAAAATTGTAACTATTTAAACTGAGTTTAAGGGGCTGTTTCTGTTCAAATTTCCACGAGGTACAGCATCATTCAGGTTGAACTATCAAACAAGCATGTAAGGATGATGAACTACACTCATTTATAGTGGTTCCCAAAGTTGGGGTCGGGACCCAAAGTGGGGTCCTGAAACATCAAGGTGGGGTCCTGAAAAGATTTTCTGAATTGATTACATTTTTGCCTTAGTTGTTACCTAAAATGTATAAATGTAGAATAATAAATTTTGTTACTATGGCCATGTTTAGTTGACCTGATACAAATGTTTATCATCCAAAAATAGTTGGGGGCACAGGTCTCTGCTACTGTTAGTTTGTGGGTCAAAAGCTGAAACGTTTGGGAACCACTGCACTTCAGAAGTCAATTTAAAGGGTAATAAAATAATTGGTGATGTAATATTTTCCCTATAATTATTACAAAAACACAAAATAAGTATAAATAAGTATTTATATTCGTGTAGCCTTTTGTTTTTAGGGTTATTAAAAAAGTTCGTGTACTCAGACCAGTTATATTTGGGGTCACAAGTTTTTGCCATGAATATTTTGTGGGTCAGAAGATAAAAAAGTTTGGGAACGACTGATTTAGATTGTCTACCTTGCTTAAATATTGCAACATAGATGCTGTAAGATTTAGTTAGTTAGTTAGTTAACTTAATGGGGAAAATTATTGCTTAGCCCCTGGTTCCAAACACAATTTTTTCACACACTAAGCAGTCTTATCAAAAGAGAAGTCCTATGTTTATGCAGCCTGTTGTGTAACCATCATGTCTGTTAGCGCCACACCATTAAATAAAACTCCTTTGTGCTTAACAATGCATTAGTAATGTGATGAGTCTTGGCAGATTGTAGTTAACAGCTTGAGTAGGACACTGCATGACTCCCATGAGGTTTCTGTTCGTCTCACACACTCCGTGACACTTCCACGTGTCTTTCTCCGTCCTCAACTTGATTTTTTTTTCTTCACCCAGAGGCCTGCTGTGACCCCGAGCATCCCCAGCGGTTGCTGCGACTGCACGTTCACCCTGAAAGACTGTGCCTCGGGCCTCAGCATGCAGACCTGGGCGTGGCAACGCCCTCTCCAGATGCCTCTGCGCAGCACTTCTGCCACTTCACGCCGAAATGTTTGCTTGCCGTCCACCGAGGTGAATCCCACTACAGCTAGTTACAAAAACAAGCCACCTGACAGGAAAATAGCTCAACTTGATGGGATTTTTTTTAAATTTTATTTTAACCAATAGTCCCAATCTTGGAGTGTCTTTAAAAAAAGTTGTGTTGAGGATCTGGTGTTAGAATGGAATTGAAAAGGATTGTCTTTTGCACAGGAGCACATTGCACCTCTCCAACGCGACATGAGGAAGGGTGGCATGACGGCACCTCCAGGACCACCATCAGAGTGGAGAATGAGGTTGAGGCTCACAGAGAGGCTAACAACTACAAGGTGGGCAAGGATGACGTTACTAGGAAACTATTATTTCACCAGATTTTCTTCGTTTTTTTTTCTTTCTTTTTCTCACAAAAATATCTCTTGATCAGTGAAAGGAAAAAAGGTGCCAACTCAAAACTTTATTTTTAATTTTTTTTATTCCCAGTTTGGCTTCAGAAAATGGAAAGGCAACGTGACCGAGAAGCCAATTGAAGACAGATCAGACATCGACAAAGAACTGCACACGGATCTTAGCATTGTTAAGCAACAAGAAGGTCTTTTTATTTTATTATTTGATTTGCGCACATAAATAGTGTTCTTGCATTAAAAATAGYGACTTGTGCTTTTCTGTTTCCACTCCTACAGCTTCAGTGGTGACTTTTGGGAACATAGCTTATGTGTTTTTATTCGGCTGGTGGGTTTCATTGTTCTACATCCTCATTTGTCCTGTAATGTTTCTAACAATCTGCGGTGCTTCTTACGGTATGTATTGAAAACTCCATCACTCATTGAACTTCTTCATCATCTTAAACTATGCCTGTTGTGTATTTCAGGCAAAGTTTGCTTCAAGTTGGCACGGTTCTTTATTTGGCCGTTTGGGAAYTCAATAGAGAAGGTAAGATAAGAAGAAACCGGACAGTTAATATGTGCCATGTTTTAAAGAGTACTAACTGTACGACTGAACATCATTTCAGGCTAGTTCTGTGGTCAGAAGGTCCACCTCAATGCCGACAAACTGTGAGATCGTTCCACAAGAACGGGATGCTGTGGACTGTGAACCGCTTCTGGTATCTTCYCCTCTTCCTGTTGAGGTCCACGTCCCAGCTCTGCCTCCCAAAAAACCRTCAAAGCACTGGGTAAGAACATCTTAACGACTTGAATCAGCCGTTGTACTATCTGTAGGCTTATTTCTACATCTCTGGTGTGTTTCTGCAGGGTCGGGTCAGTACTTATATTTGGTTGTTTCTGGGTTACCCTGTGCTGGCTGTCGTCCACTCCCTCGCATGTGTCCTCTCCTGGATGCTAGTCTTCACCATCCCTGTTGCAAAAATGAACGGTCGCGTCCTGACCACTGTCCTCCTCATGGCACCTGAAGAAGTTCAGATCCACAAACTAGAYAAGGTACTAAAACCCACCAGGCTTGCATAGATATATGGAGATAAAGGGATGTGCAAAGTATTTAAATTCATCTGATTTCTGTACGCTATTTGTCTAGCTCCAGTTTATTTGAACTGTTCACACTGAAACATTTTGTTTCTCTTTTTTCCAGACCGTTGTGTGCGAGACCAGAGTCATCCTGTGTTGTTACCAAGCTTTTAATATGTATTACTACAAATACACTGTGCAAGGAATCAACATTTTTGCTCTCAGTATCCTTTCAAGGTTGTAGTACTAGAGGGTAACAAGAGTCATCAATTTTTAAAATAAAAGTATTAACATCTGTCATAATATGAGATGTCTTTAAGAAAGGGTGGGGGATGTTGCTGTGCTAGGATCATAGTGTCATACTAGGATTTCAGTTGATTTTAATTTCACTATCATAATTTTAATAAATGTATTTCTTTTAGATTTCTGTTTTGTTTGTTCTCCTTGACAAAATGCTCCCTTAAGATTTGCTACCATTGGTGTTTATGACTTTGGTCATTGGCTACGCTGATCGGCAGCATAAATACTTCAGTGCAGAGACGATATTCACCATAGCCATTACCTCCATCATCCCCCTGTCCTACTATATTGGCATGGGAATAGCCAGGTGACGTATTTACGTTTTTGTCTCTAACAAATCGGTGATTAAGGACTTGGGTTTAATTGATTTTTGTCCTCTCTTCAGCCTTTCTGCACAGAGTAACTTTGCAGTGGGAGCAGTGGTGAATGCTACATTTGGCTCCATCGCAGAGATGACATTTTATATCACTGCACTGCTGCGGGGCCATCGAGCTGGCAGCAAATGTTACGAAGAGATTGTCAAAGCTGCGCTCACTGGGACGCTGCTGGGGTGCATACTGTTCATACCTGTGAGTGTCACGGAGGCAGGAGAACACATTAGTCCAAACCGATGCTGACTCACGAACCTCTTGGTGTAATTTGTTTTGTTTTCTTGAACGTCTGCAGGGGATTTGTATGACTGTCGGTGGCATTAAGCACAGTGAGCAGAGATTTAACAGCCGCTCAGCTGGTGTGGGCTCAGCTTTGCTTTTCATATCCATTGGGGGTAAGTGGCAGTGACTCAGGCAACACATTTTTATACAGTTTTATGTTTGGTGCGTCTAACACTTGACTCTTGCCTAGGTGTTTTCGCGCCCACCCTCTTCTCAAAGGTCTTTGGGAATCTGGTGTGTGAAAGTTGCTCTAATATTCCGGGCAACGCCAGTGCACCCTTCATCTGTAAGGACTGTCATTACTACGTGGTGGGCAGCTTATTCTTTTTGGATCAACTTTACTTTTTACAGAATGACACTTTTTTTTGTGTGTGTTTGATTTCAAAACCATTTGCTTTAATTTTTGTGTTTTCAGCAGAGTCAAACGGACCCACATTTGATTCTGTCCAATATCGAGTAAGTCCAAATGCTGCCAACAGACATGAATTCACATTTTCAGCAGCCACCTCATCAGTGTTTTTTTTTCTTTCTTCTAGGCCTCTTGTGTACACTATATCTGTCCTGCTCCCTGCTTCATATCTGATCGGCCTCATCTTCACACTAAAGACCCACTCCCACATCTATGATATTCAAATTAGCGACGGACACGGGGGTCACGTACACGGTTAGTATGCTCCTGCAAGCCCACTGGGGTGGTCACCACTAACCACGTGGTTTTGAGCTGGCTCAGACCTTTATTGACCTGAAACGTGTGGTCTCCAGCAGGTCACCACTTTGTGCATTGGTCTCGTTGGAGGGCTCTGGTGGTGCTGATTGCCGCCACAGTGCTGATGACATGCTGCGCTGACCTTTGCACTGAAAATATTGAGCCCATTCTGACCCATTCCACCATCTCTCAGGTGTTTTAGTTTTTTGAAAATTATTATTATTATTTTAAGTTTAAAAAGCCTGATTGTGTTTGTTGAACTGAGATGCCTCCTGTTGTGTCGCAGTACTTCATCGGAGTCACCGTGTTGGCCATGGTGCCGGAACTTCCTGAGATTGTCAACGGGATCCAGTTTGCTCTGCAAAACAACATTAGCCTGAGGTTAGAGAACACTGCATGGTTTAAGTTACAAAAATATTACAATAGTTATTCACCCTTTCTGTTTTTCTTCTAACAACCCACTACACTGTAATTTAAAACATGGTCAGATTGCATTAGAAAAAAATAAAGATCTGATTTAAGCTGTTTGTTTGTGTAAATATCCTTTTTTTTTCAGCCTTGAAGTAGGTAGTTGTATTGCTGTGCAGGTCTGCATGATTCAGATTCCACTTCTCATCCTTTTTAATGCGTTTTATGTAAGTAACTTGTTTTTAATGTTATTTGTATGTTGACAATGTTAGAATAGGATTGAGGTACTAATGCTGTATATTGTGGACATTTGGAAAATTTTAAAGCTAATTCTGATTCAGTGCATTTCTTTGAGATTATGGTTTTATACGTGGTACACCTTTTTTATATGTAATCTTTGCAACCCTTTTTACCCCAGGATGTTGGGTTTGTGCTGGTGTTCAGCGATATCCATCTCTGGGCCAGCATCTTCAGCGTCATTCTGGTCAATTACATCTTCATGGATGGAAAATGTGACTACTTCCAGGGTGGGTTTCATGTTCAAATGTTACTTTTATTAATGTCCACATAACCTAATGGGTTTTTTATACATATAAAATTACTGTTCATTCTCAGATGTTATTCCTCTGTTTTGCTTGCAGGCACAGCTCTAGTGGCGGTTTATCTCATCATTTTGGCTCTTTACTACTTTGCTCCTTCTCCACGTTCATGTTGATCAGTGTTGGAGGAATATGAGTCCTATTTCTATAGAAATTCACTCGTCGTTTATGGGTGGTTCAAGTTTAGAGGCACAGAATACGGGAAATTGAACGTTATCACTGAGCTGGAAATAAATAGCACTTATTATATTTCATTGTTTTGTATGCTTCAAAATGTTCTAGTTCTTGCCATTTTTGTAACTTCTATATGTTGGATGTAAAAGTGACTTTTGGAAATTGTAAATTGTCATGCCAAATATAATAAACTGATTTAAAAGTGTAAAAGGACATTTATTTAAATTAATAATAAACATTAGTCAAACCAAACAGTTATTAATGACATATTTTATTGACAGACCTAACAACATCCATAAAATTCTGCTGTACAACATTTTAGTGGAAACATGTAAAACAGCTTTTTGATTGTAAAGATTTGTTTAAAGAAAAGGTATACCATGCAGAAACTAAAAGGCGGAAATAAAAAAGAAAAATTCAGATTCAAGTCTTTTGGGGCATCCAATTTGGCAAAATCTTATCGATTGAAATTCTTTTTTTAAAACCAGACTGAGAAGCTGCAACATTATTTGGCATCAGGTATCTGAAGATTTGAACTCACTATGCTGCATTTTCATCAGATTTCCCCTTTTTGAAGCTAAAGAAATGTTTAAATTTTGGCTAGAAATGCATGCAAAAAAAGTCTTGCACTGCCTCCATTGTAAAATACGTTTACAAGGTTGAGGAAAGGCACTGCAGTATAAACATGTGTTTGGAAATGCCAGCTACTTCATCTCCCAGGTAAAACTCATAAATGATAAAGTAAAATAATTCTTTATTAAAATAAAAACATGTAGTGTTATTTTTTAAGAGCACCAAATTCACAGTGATATGTAGTTTACAAATGAAAGCTGTAAAAGAACACAGGAGGGGATTTTATGGGGTAGAAACTAAACTTATTTTAGCAAGTGTTTTATAAATAATGCAAAATGAACAAAAGCAGCAGCAGGAAAAAAGAACGCATTAAAGACTATGCAAATGAAAAGCACAGTGGTTCTATGCCTAAGACAATTTACCACTAATAAATACCATTGAATCTTTCCAAGGCATGCAAAATAAAGTTTCCCAGCTTTGTTTTTGTTTTCTTTTTTTAAATCTATGGACACAGGCAGCCATGTGTTAAAAATTCAAGAACAATTTCCAGGACCAGAATTCTGTCCCTAACTTTCTGATGATCATAAAACCTTCGGCAAGAAAAGTCCACTTTTAGAAGGAAATGTCAGAAGATGAAACAATGGAGGAAAAAAAAAMCCTGCTCCCTTTTTAGTCTGGTATTCTTGCTGTGGTCATCCATGCACATAGAATCTATTAAATAAGTAAATACCTGCAAATATATGAAACGATGTGCAAACAGCAATTTCTTCATGAAAAAAACACCAAAGTCCTTAAAAATAAATATACATCTATTAGTTTTCTTCGCTGAATCCTTGAAGTTCCTGGAGGATGCTGATTTACAATGACAGTGTTTGACTTCTTGACGTGGCAAAATAAACTTTTTTTTTAAACTGTCAGTTTTGTTGAAGCTGTGAATCCAAACTCTAAGAAGCAGTGGTGACTTGGAGGGGTTTGAGTAAAATCCATAAAAAATTCTACATACAGTCCACCTCCACTAGAAAAAATAGAACATAAAAAAAGGCATCCCATTGTTTTTTGGTTTTAAGGTGGGGCTACGTCAGGCAGGGGAGGAGCCGGGTACTTTCCCAAAACCTGGGTTAAATCATATTTTATCTCATCTTTTTCGCTGTCTGTCCCAGCCTGACCATGCCTCCATTTTTTTTCTCTTTTTTTCTCTCTTTTTTTGTGCTTATTTCAAGCGTTCTACAAGCTCCTCCGTGAGCCCCAGGTTAAACAGATGAAAGGTGGGGAGAGAAGTCAAGTGAGGAAAAGACTTGAGAAGCTTCTCCCAGCAAAGTTCCAGCAGGCTGGGAACAGTCAGCCAGATCTTAAACAGAGAGCCAGTCCTCTTGTTTTCATGGATGTTCACTACACCACCGTGGATGTACATGCAGCCAGCCTGGAGACAAAAACAACAAAATATTAGCAAAAAAAAGGCAAAGCGTTGTCTTGATTACCTATTAGCTGGAGGGAGAGGTCAAAGTGGACATTAGTATCAGTGCAATATCCAGATCTGACCAGCAGGGATCACTGTGTTTTTGCTTACCCCTGAAAATCACTTTCTGACCAAAACTCAGGGTTATGTTGCTATTTTAAACTTAACAGGCATGCACGTGTAGCTAAACAGAAAGGAAACGGCAAGAAGAGGGCTAACCGGTGTAACTGCAGCACAATGAAAGTAGGCTGGCTCAGGCATCTCTGCTGGTAGCTTATTCCACTGGAAAGTGTGCAGGTTGATCTTCCACAGATCCGACAATATCAACTCCCCATTGTAGCCCCCACAAATAAATACATCTAAAACAGAAAAAAAAACAAGTTAATGCATTATAAAGAAGGAGGTCAAAATGAAACACGTATTTTTATAAAGTGAGACAAGCTGTATTACAAAGTTAGCTGTTCTTACCATTCTGTATTTGAACACAACTATGGCATCTTCGCGGAGCAGGATACCCTGTGGAAAGCAGGAGCATTTGAGAATTCTGTACATGAGAACTGAGACAGCTTAAAAAATAACGTGACAATTACAGACCTATTTTTTCATGGGGTTTAGTTGTAATCTCCTCCCAGGAATTTGTCTCTAGATTATAGGCGTGTATCTATTGAAAAAAAAGTCCAAAGGGAAAGATTTTTCCATTTTCATTAGCATTTCTTACGTAAATTTCCACATATTTGGAGAATAACCAGAATAAAGTACCTTATCCAAAGGATACGATGTCCAAGAAGTTCCCCCTCCCAGAATATAAATCCTCTGTCCATCCTGTGCTATTTCATGTCTGTACCTGTGGCAAATGTGACACCAGTTTATATCAGTGATTTTTTTTAAAACATAGTGTTTAGCTTCTGTAATGTATTCCTGAATCCTAACACCATACCGTTCCTCAGGCAGGTCACCAGGGGGATTGTTGGGCTTGAGGTGGATCCACTCCCGGGTGGTCAGGTCTAGCCTGTGCAGGTCTGTGCTGTAAATGTAACCTGTCGTGCCCCCAAACACGTACAGGAAGCCATTTATAATGACCATTGCCTGCAGAGGGGAAAGATATCAAGCTCTGATCTCACAAWTTTGAAACTCCTTCAAGGGGCAGACTGTTGCAGATTATGAAACAAATCAAAATTTACTGCCACTTTTTGACTCTAGGAAAGTTTGTGCGTACCTGTCCATAGATTCTGTTAGGCTTYTTCCCTCGACAGTTAAGCAGCGACCATCTCTTGTACTTGACGTTACAAACGTGAACGTCGTTGCCGTTATTTTCACCAAAAGGGATCCCGGTTCCACCAAACACCAGAAGGTTGTTACCGTGCAAAACAGCTGAAGAAACAGCAACAATAAATTAAATTTTATTACTTGTTTTATTTATATATTCAAAACGAAAATGTTATTCAAGGAGAAACAAGAAATAAAGAGTACCTGACATAGATGCCAGTTCTGTGGGCATGTAGCCCTCTGTGTGCATCTGCTGCCAGCAGCCTGTAGCAAAGTGGTACCTCCACAGTTCCCTGAACAGTGGATAGTCTTCATTTTCCGAGCCGCCTGACTCATCATAGTCGGGGTTGTAACCTCCAAACACATATAAGTTGGCATTATCAGCAACACAGCGATGTCCACTGCGGGCAGGGGGCGTTCGGTAACCTGAAAAACAAAAAGTAACACTTGAACAAGAGCAAAAGATGATGGGGATAGATATTATCCAGATGTTAAAATGTGGGTGGGAGACTAAAAATAATTAACAAAACATGAAATTTGCTACAACTGGTTTATGGGATTGCAAAAAATGAAACAGCTCTTTTGTTGTTTATTTACTAAAAAAAACTGAACTTGTATGCMAATATAAAAGACAACAATATAGAACTTTTTTAATCTTAAGAAGTTAAGGTTTAAATGATTTGTGAAATAAAAAGTGCATCATGAGACCACAAAAACTTGTCTTTTACCAGTACATTATGCTGCTCAATGCAATAACCAAATCAAACAAAAAAAGTTTTAAATTCCTAGTAATATATAACCTGTTTGATGTCAAATATTCGCTTTTCTAAAGAAAAAAATGTTATTCCAACAAAGCTTGACAGCTGCTGCTGCTAGCTTGAAACCATCAAAGTCACTAGTGGTAAATAATTTCTGGGTTTCCTGGCATCCAGATGTGACATTAACAGTGTTAATGCTGATTTGAATGTTGAGCACGGCGGCTATGATAAAGTTAAAATGCATTGTTGATAGCATAGCATGCTAATGTTATTGACTAACCTGCTAGCATAGCTGCTTGCGGCGGCCTGCTACTAGACAGTTTCTCAAATATATTCAGCTGGTCTGAACTGTCAACCCCTTCCGCGTTCAACATCGTTTTCTCCGTTACAAATCAGTCCTTCTGGATGTCACATCGAAGAAAAAAAAAAAMCCAACAAWAACTAAAGCGCAATGTCTCATTTCACATTTTAGGCAGGCTGGAAGCCATTCACAAAATTTACCCCGACCCGTACTGTCCCGTCACGTCACACATTTAGCCAATCACAGAGCTTCTTACTAGGACATTGCGTCAGCGGCTGCATTTTTYTTTTAAACAACAGAAATCTGGAGAAGTTCAGTGACCAAAAATACAGTCATACTTGCAAAAACTGAAAGTGGAAATAAGTTCACCTTTTATTTTTTGGTAAATTGTTAAATAATTTGCATTATTACGTTAGCAAGTTATATTTATTTTTTTGTTGTTTCATGTATGAAAAAAAAAGAAATAAATGCCAAAATATAAAAATAAAACATTTTTTACACTATTTACCTACAAGTCTATGAAAAGTGGCAAAATTCCCACCGGTTTTTGAAAAGCGGAACGACTTGTTTCGGGGTGAAGCGGAACGACTTGTTTCGGGGTGAATTTTCCGGGGGTGCACCTTTGACGTCGAACATGGCGGCGACTCACGGTACAAGTCGTCTTGGTAATTCTAATCAACACAAGTCTTCTATCGCTTCTCCGGAGAAAGTTCGTGAGCTTCTTAACGAAGGAGTATCATCACCGGACCTCGGTCTGCACAGGTGGCTATATTCGTTTTGAACACACGCACTTTATATGGACGTTACCATTAGCTTTTTTGAGTTAGCCACCTAGCCTAACGGCTCATTTTCGTCTTATGTCACTTAGATTTATTGGAAATAATGAGAACGTGTAAAAAAAAAGGAAATATATTAATTCCATTCATTTAGTTGTTTTCGTAATGCATATTATAATATATCTGTCGGTACATTTGTTTTCCTCTTTTTGTGTATCAGTGGACAAGGCGAACTAAAAGTTCTTGATGCAAAAACCAACACACAAGCACCTTGCGAGGCAACCAACAAAGAAGCTTTTTATTCTCGAGTGGAATCATATTCAATATCCTTTTCTTGTTGCAATCAAGTACGAGCCACCCAGTCTGTAGGGATGTGGATAAATGTTTAATCCTACACCAATATGAAATCTGACAGCGGATTCCAAAATACCATTTCAAACCATACAAAATAACACCAAAATCATGTGATTATCTGAAGTATGAGGGAAGTTATTGATGTTTGTTTAGGTAAAATCAGCTCATGTTTTCTTGCTGCAGTTCACAGCAGAACCAATGGGGTCTTTGTGACCATTTCAYCTTGCTGTTTTCTAWTTTTGCTCATAACTTYCTCAGTGTTCAAGATATCGCCATGAAATTTTAGGAAAAGATTCACATTCTGGTTTTTGTAGGAAGCATCTTGTATCCTAAAAAACTAATAAAACTTAATAATGACCAATTCAAAAGTAGCAGAAAAGGTATAAAATAACAATACAAGGCAAACTGTAGCATCAAATCAACTTAATTTGTCTTAGAAAGTAAGGAAATTAAAACAATTTAAAAACCATGTGGTCATCTGTTTTGTAAACAAAACTCCTCAACCAATCACAGCGTGTTAAATGTGTCAAGTGACGAAGACGAGCATCAAAAACACTTTGCAACAAGCACTGTTCTGGATTATAAAAACATACTTCGACGTTTCAAATCATTATCAAATTTGGAACAAGAGCAGATAAAATAATGTTCTTCATGGCAGCTTATCTCTTTAAGGGGTCACTAAAAAACTCGGGTGATTTACTTTGATCCTCTTTTCAAAAAATTGTCTCTTCAAAACGCATCAACAAAAATTAAAAACTGGAAGACGAGGCTGTAGCTAACTACCTGACGGCAGCCCGATTTGTTGAAATTCGTAGAAATAACGAAGCAGGAGGAAATTATAAGCAAATTCACAGAGCAGCCTTGCAAAATCTGGTCACAGCAGTTTGGGAAGAAAATGGCAGCAGCTGCTGATGAAATGTCAACATCCCTACAGTCTGTGTTTCACATTACAATCATCTCACAATAAATGCATCATTCAGGCTTAGATCTCTTTTATTTCAAGTAATGTAAAATACAAATTTCCTTAGCATCTCACTGTTCGAAATGGGCAGGCAAGCCACGCATACTGTCCCCTCTCATGTGCGCCAGATATGGTTGGATCAACGTTGGGAATGACATGCTGAAGTGCTCCAGCTGCCAGGCTTTCCTGTGTGCATCCCTTCAACCATGTTTAGACTTTGAAAAATGTAAGCAAAACATTAAACTACAAGGAAATATTGTCAGACCTGGAATAATCCACCTGGGCAGTGGAGCTGCACGCTTCATTTGAACGATTAAGTGTGTGTTTTTCTCTTAAATAGATGAAACTCGAATCGCAGAAATATCCAGACAGCTTCAGACACAGCATGAAAAGTTTTGTCCTTGGCCTGACTTTCCATGTCCAGGTAGGTGCCACCATGTAGCTGCATATAATAAATATTTATTACACAAGCATAGCAGAACGGCTGAAATAGTAGCAAGCATTTATTACAGCATCGCTGCTGTAATAAATAAATGTTTTTGTTTTATTTAATCCAGAGCGGTTCTGGCTGGTTCCAGCTTCTGAACCATCAGTGCTTCTTAATTCACTTTTGGAGCGCTTCCAGAGTGCTTGTCTTCTTGCTCAACAGTTGCCCGCCATGAAGCCAGAGAAGCTACAATTCATGGTAAAGTGTTTTGTTTACAACCACTACTTTCACTTCAAAATGCAAAAGGTGCATTGAAAATTTCATGAAAAAAGCCTGATAAATCAGGGTCACATTTGTTAACATTATAACCGGATCTGTTTGATTTCGCTTTACCAAAATATTGTTTTCTTGTAGTCATTGACAGAAGATGTCATCAGTGCTGTGCTGCATCTGATTGAAAAAGAACAAAAAAGAAAGGGAGACACTCCATCCTCTGAGCCTTTGGCTGTCCAGGTGGCTGCTTGCATTGTTTCCCTTTGTGGCTGGGAAGCCAGGTGAGATGACTTTGTGATTACTCCCGCTGCGTTCAGACAGAAGAGACGAGTAAGAAACATGGGACAAATAACTTTTCTTTCATCATAGCTCAGCTCTGCATGCCATGAGTCTGCCCATCCTCACCTGCTCCTACTGTATGCGGAAGGTGGGCTTGTGGAACTTCCACCAGCTAGAAGGGTTTGGAGGTGACGTAGAGGCGTCACCAGACACTACAGGACACTCCGCTCAAGCTGCAGGACCTGCGTCGGTGGGCAGTGACGATGTCCCGGGAGACTCTTCTGCGTCTGCCACTCCAACATCAACTCCGTGTCGCATGAAGCTTAGGAGCCAGGACTGCACTCGCTCTGACCAGGCAAGCTTAATGAGTATTGGTCAGCTAGAAAAGTGTTTTTGTTTTTCTTTGTCTGCATCACTGTTTTAATTCAAACCATAAAGACTGTTTGTTCACAAGGTGTTTGTTTATGGTGCAGGGTGAGGGAACCTCCTCTCCTGTGGCGTCACGCACCAAAAACCGAGACTCGCCCACCCCCAATGAAGAAATGCCAAGTCCTTTAGTCAGGGGAAAGAGACCTGCAACTCGAAGTCGAGGACAGGGGGATGCCTCGGGGACTGACGGCGCTGCCGGTCTTCACCCTCCTAAACGCTTGTGCCTTTCATCTTCTGGTGGTCCAGTAAGACCCAATGTTACTCCTGAATGAATAACTTACTTTTATTATAGCAATAGCCCCTTTAAAAAAAACACTATTATTTCAGGATGACCATTTGCCCAAGAAAGCCTTTGACCCCCTCGCTCAGCACAGGGACTGGTGTCCCTGGATCTCTGTGGGTAAGGAGAATGTGGATCCAGGTGTTATCCCTGCGCTAGGTGACGGTTCACTGCCTCAGCAGGGCTGGAAAGCTGCTCTCGACCTCCTCGTGCCCACAAAGACGAACTCCAATACACAAGGAAGCAGTCCAGCACAGGTAAGATAAGCGATTTCCATATTTCCACACAAGGAGTCTTGAAATCTTAAGCTAATTTTTTGTTGTTTTCTTTTCCTGTTAGGACCCTCGTGACAAGTCTAAAAGGGTGTTTGCTATATTACGCCAGTGGCAGGTATCCTCTCCATCTCAGTAGACTGTTTAGATACAAGCAACACTGAATTGATGAACTGGTCTGCCTTCTTTTATGCGGTACAAGATCCATCTCACCAATAAAGGGAGTGTCATATGTTATTAATGTCTGCCATCCTTTGAAATTGTGTTTACGGTCAAAAGTGTTATTTAAGGGATATAAATGTGCGTTTTCTCTGTAAAGATAAAAATGTGAAGGATGCCTGTGGACTTTTGAAGCATTTGAATTTTAGTACTTAGAAATTGAGATTTTAGCTTATGGGGCCAGGGGTGACCTTTTTATCACATGTGTGTATACATAAGCAGTCCACAGGTAGTAGAACCCAGAGAGCACCAGGAGTGTTTCTAAAACAACTTCACATGAAGACTGCTACAGGTGTTCTTAAGACATCGTTGTGGTCTGGGTTTTTATTTAAAACAAGAGACAAGGAATCTCTGGTTGTGAAAAAGAACCAGTTGCCTCAACACTGGACAGACTTTGTTTACCTTAACTGAGTTATTCACAGGAGTGGTAAACATTAACCTCAGATTAGAAAAAATGACTGTGAGCAAATAATTTTTTAAGTTTTACATATTTTTTTTGCTTTAAAGCAAAGTTTCGT